TGCAGGGTGGAACAAGTCTATTTGTGACTGTTGTCCTTTCCGTGGCCTTGTTTATTGCATTCCTCCACCAGCCTCACTGCTGGTGTTCTCTTCCTCAGCTGGCTTTCTTCAGCTTTTCCTAAGACTTCTGTTTCACTTTTGGTACATACATACAGATTGTATTCTACTATCCGGCCTCAATCTGAAGACCCACACTTGCCTTGCTGAGGACACTGTGTGTATTTGGAGGTCATAGTTCAAGCATTGGACAAGATGCAGGGGAAGGCTCAGGATTCAGAGTTGTGTGGTCAAGTAGGCTAGGAGAGTGTTTAGCTTCCTGGATACCAGGCTGGCCAAATGTTTCTGGTTACGTCCTAAATGTTGCTGCAGGTTCTTGCAGAGTTGTGTTCTCTGCCCAGGTCCCAGGGGTCATCTCCGTTTTCTGTTGACTAGACAGTCATGTCTCAGGCCTGTGGGTCAGCTTTCGTGCTGGGAAGCTTTTTTTTTTTTTTTTTTTTTTTTTTTTCCTTAGGCTGGGTTTTGTTCTGTAGAAGCTGGGTCACCTAATCCAGCATGACTAGAAAACACCATGCTTTTCAGCGTGGGTGCAAGCTGCCGCTTCTTGCTGCTGCTTCTCTCTGCTCACGAGTCTAGCTCACAAGAAGCAGTCACCAGGTACCCACTGGCCAAATGCTGTAGTCTTCTTGCCTGGTATACTGGTATTTTGTATTCTTGTGCTCTGCTCCTGACTGCTTTGGGATTGCTAAGGGAAAGTCCAATTTCTCATGACCTTGAGGTCAGTATTTATCCCTTGCCTGTGGCCCATGTCCAGAATCGTCAGTGGCCATCTGCCTTAGCCTTCAGCACCACAGGTCCTGAGGGCTGGCCACAATCCGAGGAGCCCCAGCAAGGCGATGCTGGAAAGATGAACATGCAAGCTGCTTACAACGAAGGCATGAGTCAACAGTGCTTAATGCAGTCAGCTTTCTTACTGTGTAATACATTACAATTTTAAATGTTTGTTCTTTTTTATTTTGGAAAATAGCTTTACTAGTGAGTCATGAAGCATTGCCAGTGTTCCTGTACAATACAGCTTATAAAGAGTGGGAACATCAGCATCGTGGTGCAGTCTGCAGTAATTCTCACACCCTTTGCGGTGCAGCTCTCTGCCCCTACCTCTCAAGTGCATGGTGACCTCTGAGGCTAGTTTTCCTGTCACCTTGAGTTACACCATCAAAGAGGACATCCCTGCTCTTCCCACTCCCTTGTTGCTGTGCTGGCATCCTGGGATGGCAGTGCTCTGGAGCTGTCAGGAACAGGCATGTCCTTGATGCTGGTGGTGGTCTTGTATGACATTGGTAGTCTTCAGCCGGGGTTCAGTATTGTTTAAGAGTACTCTGGGTCTCCAAGAGCACAGCACTATTTGTTTTTGTGGAGGGGCATATTCCCTCCTGGAGGGTAATGTCAGTATTGAAGGCAGGGTTTACTCGGGAAGAGCAGAGTCACCTCGTGTGTCTTCCTGACTTTTGTTTGGAAATATCTGGTGTGTTACTACAAGAAAGTACAGCTTATTGCTCTTCTTTATGACTATCCTGCTAAAAGGTGTTGGAACAGTAGATGTGCCATTCAGATTTGGAGCAGATACACTGACAGACAGGCATCTAGACTTAAGTAAAGCAAATGATTTTCCAGTAGAAGTTTTTTACTGGGGTGGATAATGGAATATGGGATGTGGTGTGTCCTAGTCACCAATAACTCTGCTCCTGAACCTCACCTTCTACCTCTCGTAAGTCTGCCTTGATGGGCTGACTGTCTAGATCAGTCTGTTGGAAGGAGGGACGCTAAACTAGCCTGAACATCTGACTACTGTTTGAACTATAGGGGTGGTGTTGAAGGATACCAAAGGATCTGCTTGGGTGAACTGGTCTCTTTCAAGCTCTTTTGTGGATTGTGCACTGCATTTTACAATATAATTGGAAGGACTTGTGAGTTTTATAAGCCAGCTAAAATAGTTGAACCCATGCCTTTGTTTAAAGAGGAAGGGTGAGTAGTATTTAGGCCTTCAAATAGTTTTCTGCTTTATATTTGTTTGAAACTGCTGGGTTTCTTCTGTCTTTATTTGTGGATAGTGTCCATATTTAGTAATAACCCTTTACTTTGAGTTAGTCTCCTGGAAAACACTAAGCTGTATCTGAGCTATAAAGTGTTTGTTTTTCAAGTCCTGTAGATAGCTTCCTCTTTAAAAATGTGGTCTCTGAAATGCTACTTGCCATAAAGTATTTTTTCCTCACATTCACTCATACGTGGAAAAATATTGTCTATATCACTGTTTTATTTGGAGCACGTGGATGAGTACATGAGCAGTTGTACCTGGGTTTGGGCTCTCTCCCCACCTGGTGCCTGGCTCCTCTTGTGTCACAGCCACAGAATGTGTTTTTTGTGGCTGTCACTCCTTCCCAGTGTGCCTGCACATCTGAAACTTGTCATGTTGGGTTTTCTTGGGGGTGGTGGGGTACTTGGCAGTGAGCCTGGGCCACTTCTTGATGGCTGCAGCCTGTTTTCATTGCTGCCTTCCCAAGAGCCTTGTGGACAATTGCAGTCATCTCATGGCTCTCTAGGCCATGCATTGGAGAAGGCTTGAGGGACTCTGCAGAGCAGGTGGCTGCTGTCCTCAGAATAATGCAGGTGGCATATGCTTTGTTGTTGCTCACTTTTAGGAAAGAAAGCTGCTGGAATTAGGTAAAGGGTCCAGATAATCTTGCTCTGATGGCCAAAATCTGCCTGTAGCCCATAGGTGAGGCACTCCTCACTGCTGGAGCAGTCTGTGTGGGCCTTGCAGGGCAGGGGTGTGTCTGGGTGTTTGTGATCACCATCTGAAGTTAGTGAAGGTGTGTGAAGCTAATGAGTTGGCTTAGATAATCTCCCTCTGTAAACTATAGATAATAGGACTTCCTTCTGTCACTGGCAAAACATGAGACCCTGAGATGTTTTGTGATTGGCTTTCGGTGGAAATGGGGACTAGTGCCAGACCTGAGCGTCATATCCGTGTCTCCTGAGTATGGCAACTACTGTTATCACACAGATTCTTGTCCCATGAAGTTTAAACTACAGGAAGGTGTGAACTTGGCCCCTACATTGTTTGGAATAACTGAAAGTTCTGCTTTAGTCATTGGCAAAATAAAAGAAACCAAATCTAAGATGAAGCTGCATCAGCAAGGGGAGACTTAAATCTGTAAAGCATTCATCTGAAATCTGTGAAGTGCTGATCTCTTGCAGATGCTGGCACATTGCTTGTTCTTGGCTATTAACTGCCATTAAACCAAACTAAAACATATGACGTAAGTGAGCCTCTGCTGCTGAAATTTCTTCTTGTTGATGAAGCAAATAAGAGGGAGGAGAGAAATCCACAGCATGTTTTTGTCTTTGTCATATGACTTAGGTTCTGAGTGAGTTTAGGAGACAAGCTTTGAAGGATACCTTGAAGAGAGTTTGATATGAGTTGCTATAGAGAGGAACCATCTGTGTTGTTTTTTGTTGGTTTTTTTTCCTCCTATTCCCCAGCCCCCTCCTTAAAAGCCAACTAAATAGTCACACTGTTCCTCTTACACTGACTGTAGTTGTGTGGTCATGTAACCGCAAAAGGAAATTATTTCCATGGGATCAGTGAGATGATTCAACTCAAATGTACATACACTCGTACTGTCCCAAAATCCAGTGCAAGGGAGCGAGCAGGAATGTGCAGACAGGGAGGGAAGCGTTGCCCTGTTGTGGGGAGCTGTGGGGTTAGATTGGGTTAAACGTGTTAAGAAGTATTACCCCTCCTTTTGAATCTCTTGGGCTGCATCTTTTCCATGACTGAATTGGAGGAGAGGGAGAAGAGCTCATGTTCACCCAGAACTTCCCTAGCTCGGCAGTGTTGTGTAACTGCAGAGACATCCCGTGGCCAGATGAGGAACAGCTTGAACTGTGTCCCTTGTTCAGGCCTCCAAGATCCCTGGGTTCTTAAATTGTTGCCCTTGGCTCTGGCTGTGCTAAGAAATCGGAAATTTGATGAACTCGGAAACTGTAGTCGCCATATGGTTCTTGTACCAAAGACTTTGGGTAACTCATCGCTGTGAGGAAATCCTGTGATGTTTTCCCCAGTAGCCTGAGGAGCAGCTGTGATCTAAGCTGGAAAGGGCAAAGCATCTGGAGAGAATTTGGATGGTTTATTTTTCTATTGTCCTGTGACTGTGCCAGGCACTCTGCAAATGTTAAAAGAGCATGTGTCTTCTCCAAAGCACTTCTAATCTCATTTGGATTTAGTGATCTCTCTTGCCTATCTCTAGAGATCAGGGAACTGTTGTGCATGTAGGTGCTGTAGAAGCATTAGGAAGTAATTGTTGTCCTGAAGGGCTTAGAGTAATAAAGGAGAGAATCCGAGTGGGATCCATTCAGTCAGCATACACACAGCAACAGAACGACTGTCTTACGCCGAGAGTCTTTCATGTCGTAGCTTGAAGAGAAGTGAGTCAGTAAAGGAGGAAACGGTCTTAGAGTAGGAGATGAACAGGAATTATTTAGTTGTTTAGATGTTAAAAATGCAGAGACATAAGGAGTGGAATTGAGATTCTTGAAATGATTGTTCTGCTTATGTCAGTCACTTACTGATAGGCAGGTGTGGGCTTGGTTTTAATTGTGCTGTAGCTCACAGTTAGTGCTCCATTGTCATGTTGTCTTACTGATAAAATGAACTAAAGGAAAGAAATAGTACTTTCTAAAGTTGGGAGGCTCAAAATAAACCTCCTTCTTCCCCTGTCAACGCTATTGGAGAAGCTGTAGATGAGACTGCCTCGGAGATAGTGTGTGTTTACCTGCAGGATGAAAGAGATGGTGAGGAGCATGCTGGAACAAGTGCTATGAAAACAGAGAACAGAAGAGGAACAGTTATGAATACAAATAAATACCAAAGACTTCTCTGAGCCAACAGGGAGTGAATGCAAGTGGTCCTCCATTCACAGGAGTCTCCTTTGCTTTTTCAGATCGCTGTAAGGAAGCAGATTGCCAGGATTTCCCCCCTGTGGCTGCCTGACCACTGCTGAGCCCCTCCCAGCCCATGTGGCTCTCCCCATGCTCCAAGAGTGCAACTGGTGCCCAACGCAATGTGTGTTTGTCAAACCATGGAAGTGGGCAAGTATGGCAAGAACGCCACTCGATCCGGAGACCGGGGGGTCCTGCTGGAGCCTTTCATTCACCAGGTGGGCGGCCACAGCAGCATGATGCGCTACGACGACCATACTGTCTGCAAGCCCCTCATTACCAGAGAACAGCGATTCTATGAATCACTGCCCCCAGAAATGAAGGAGTTCACACCTGAGTACAAAGGTGAGGCCTGTTGTCATTTCAGAATGCACTGACATGTGTCAGGAACCTGCCTTCTCCTTTTCTTGCAGCTTTGATCACTTGCTGTCTTTTGGTGTAATTTTATTTGTTGTTTTTAATTCTCTTTTGCAGACTAGCAGTTTGGTAGGAGCACTTGGAAAGGAGGGAGTCTTTCTTTGTAGGCGTGAGGAGTTTAATGTGCTCCTCTTTCTAGACAAAAATTATGCAGTGTGACACTGTCTGAACTTTAAGGTTATGGATGTGTAACTGAAGTAATTTGACTACCAAGTTATTGTCAATTACAGCTCTGACCTTGAGCGAATGAAGATAGATCATATACTGAGCATTTGCACATTCCAGTCCCATAATTTATTGCTTCCTCACCCCATCTCCTTTATGGACCCATATCAGAAAGCTGCTGAAGCAGGAAGCATTGCTTTCCCAGTGCTAAGGTGAAGCCTTGTCCCCAGCTGCTTTGAAGGAATGGAATTTTCCAGTGTCTGTATTGGTGTAGGAAGTTTAGCAGCTCATTCGTATCTTTCAGAAGCTCGATATGCTTTCAGCTCTGTGTGTCTGTATTAGGATGGTGACGCTGGCAGGTAGCCTTCTGGGGGACTCTGTGTTCCTGTTGCCTCTGCTGCTTTGTCACTGTCTGGCACTGGGAAGATGGTGCTTCACGGACAGCTGGGACCACCATCTGTTCACGATCTTGCCATTTGATCTGGTTGCAGCCAGAAGGTCTTGAAGCGGTGTCAGCTTACCTACCTGTGTCTGTGCAGGTCATGAATGAAAGATAGCGTCTCCAAAAGAGGGCTCCTCTTGTTACCCTCAAGCCACTCTGGGGCCATACAGTGCTCTAGCGACCCATCAGAAATCTCAGCTGAAGCCTCTGTAGTTACTAGAATCTGTATGAAGTCAGGCTTTTCTTGGGAGATAGGTTTAAAACTGATGAAGCTGATAGTCCAGATGGAGACAGGTCTTCTTGAAGTCGGATACTTCCTGGTAGCCTAAAGGCATAGGACGTGCACTTCCACCCCAGTGTGGGATTTCATCTGAGAGCCTTGTGCAGTTTCCTGATAGTGCCAGAAATTGTTCCTGCTGATCTGGGGCAGAGGAATACTGGGGACGATGTTTCCTGTCTGAGCACTCAGATGTTACTTTAAGATTGCCCTTTCACAGAGGTATCTTGAGGCGCATGTCCAGGCAGGCAAAGCCCTTGGAGTGGCATTTGGGTAGTGACATACTGGAGTCCTGAGATGCTATGATATTGTGTTGAGCTGCCTGAGCCTTGTTAGCATTGTTAGTGCAGATAAGGAAAAGTGAAGGACGGTAACATGATGGCCTGCATCAACTGAGCAGTGCAAGGTTTCCTCACGTTTGTGATGAATCATTTGATTTGGTGCATCTGGCTTCTGATCCTCCTGGCAGCTATATATATGAATCAAATGATTCATCAGAAACATGAGGAAACCTTGTGGTGTTCAGTTGATGATCAGTACTGGTGACAAACCAATGAAAGATTTTTGTCCTTGCAAGTTAGGAGTTGAGCTCATAACCTCATTTTCAGGGCTGAGGGAGTCACAGAGATGAAGATGTCAGCCTTAAGTAGAAGTGTCAGCTGTCCTGCTCTGTGGCTGGCCAGCTAGATATATTCAGAGTCTGTGCTGTGAAAGATCTATACCTTCCCTTGGACTATGGTGCTTTACAGGAGCCTTCAGAAGGTAAAATTGGACAGGACACCAATGGTCCTGCTTTCTGCACCTGGGTGAGGTAGTTCTGCTCCCAGGGCCCCCTGCTTTTATTGCTAGGAAGCCCCGGGACCTTACCGATCCCTTTTGTGAGACTGGCTGAGTTGCGCTAAGAGTGTCAGGTGTTGCCTCAGCCTCAGAGCTGTCTACTTCATGGCTCACATGCTGGAGAGCTCCTCTGGCAGAGAAAGCACACTCCTCCTTGGCCAGTGACGTCCTTGTCGGCAGCAGGAATGCTTCTGCAGGACATAGATGCTTACCCAGATGAGCTAGATATGTATTTTGTATGCTTTGCCCCCCTCAACAGCTTGGTAGGCCATGCTTGACTTTCTCCATTTGCTGCAGGACTGAATGGAAGGAAATAATCACTCCCCTCAGCCTACCAGCTTCACTTTTGTCCTTAATTTCCTGTGGGTGGCAGAGCTTCCCCCGCTGCTTCTGGCTGTTTGCTCAGGTAGTGACACAGAGCACTGTTTGGGGGATTTCTTCTCTGTGCTGTGCTAACAACAGTTGGGTTCTTGTACTCTTAAACCTCCTTTCATTGCTCTGGATTTGCTTTGTTGCTCTGAGCTATGTTTTCCTTTCCCCGGTTGAACATTTGGGTGCTCATGGCTGTGTATTCCCTCCCCTGGGAAACAGCTGACATGTCACTTCTCTGGCAGGTGTGGTGTCTGTCTGTTTTGAGGGAGACAGCGATGGCTACATTAACCTGGTGGCCTATCCCTACGTGGAGAATGAGGCTCTGGAGCAGGATGACATGCCAGAGAGGGACCAGCCACGACGTAAGCACTCGCGTCGGAGCCTTCACAGATCAAGCAGCGGCACTGAGCACAAGGAGGAAAAACCTGGCCTGGCCAGTGACAGCACTGAGAGGTAAAGCTCTGAGGGCTGGTGACAACATGATGAGTGGGAAATCTCTCTTCCCCTTTAAGCTCTGGTGCTCCTTTTGCTGAGGGAATTTTGCACTTCCACGGAGTGTCCAGGCTGCCTTGCACTTACTAGCCCGGCACACTGTGGCACTGTAAACTGTGCCAGAAATTCTACTGTGTTCAGGATGAACTCATCCACGTGAAGTGCTCCTCACAGACGATAACCCTTGGCAGCTTACTGGATGTGGAACGAAAGCATGTGGAACAGATTCAAACACTCTTCAGTCCACCTGGTTATTAATCCAGGTGTTTCTTCCAAGGGTGCTTTGAACATGGGTCTCTGACTCCTCACGCCAGCCAGAGCTCCCGGAGAAACAACTGTTCCTGTTTACTCTGTCAATTACAACACAACCCAGCAGAGATGTCAGATAGACCAGATCCTTGAGCGTGGGTCCATAGCCCAGGGTATTAGTGAGGATTTGCTGTTACGGTTTGTATTGTGTGAAGTGTGCAGCAGGGGAAGGAGCAGGAGATAGTTGTGTGCAAGGGGAAGATGTGACTGTCGTAAGTATCTGGAGAATGCATGGATTTTAACAGGCACGTTTGTTCTGTCTTTATACCAGCAGCATCCAGGAAACGAAGAGTCCCAGGGTGGACTTGCACATCCATTCAGATGTTCCATTTCAGATGTTGGATGGGAACAGTGGTCTGAGCTCTGAAAAGATCAGCTATAACCCCTGGAGCCTGCGCTGTCATAAGCAGCAGCTGAGCCGCATGCGGTCGGAGTCCAAGGACCGAAAACTCTACAGTATCCTTTGGGAAGGAGAATCATGTGTGTCAGGTTGCTGCTGCTGCCCAGGCCTCACCCTTCTGTGCCTGAGGCAGCTTAGGCCTGCATTTCCTTTTGGCTTTCTATCCTTCACACAATCAAAGCTGTATTACATGTTTCTTTTTACTGATCTTTCCAGCTTCCCATACGGTGGCACCAATGTTTGACACACAGGAGTCGTGTTTCTGACTAGATCCCACGTTTTCTTTCTTCTCTGGGCCTTCTGTCCGTTGGCTTGTGTTTTGAACGGTACTTTTTCATGTCAGGCTTTGCCTGGCAGCAGATGCACCTGCCCAGTAGTCCCTTGGAAGGGAGCTGTCTTTGTCCTTGTCACCTTTCTTGAGCCTTTTCCAGTTCTACTATATCCTTCTGGAGACAGTGACCAGAACTGCACAAAATATGGAAGATGCAGGTGAACCAGAGATTTCCACTGGTGTTTAATGTTGTCGTCTCTCCTCTCCCTCCTAATTCCTAACATACTCTCTGGTTCTAGACGCTGTTTTGTTACCCCAAGATCCCATACCTGACTGGTAATAGTTGTCTCAAAACACATTGCTTTATGCATTAAGAATCTTTTTCTCCTTATGTTTATCATCTTGCCTGTAAACTTCAGTGAATTTTGCCTGCCTGTTTAACGGCCAAGTCAGTCTCGTAAGATCCTTGTGGAGTTTTTCACAACTGTTCCTCATTTTTGCACTTGAGTAACTTAGTACTTTGAGCAAATTTGTCATCTCAGTGTTCACTTTACTTCTCTGAATCACTTGTTGAACAGCATGGCTCTGCACATGAAGAACCTGCTGGCAACTGGCTGTAAGACCAGGCATGCGCTGTTTGTTCCCCGGATCTCTGTAAATCAGCGTTGTGGTAGCCCCTGGTATTAAGGCAGTGTTGAATGAGTTGCACATCTCTTTATTTTCCGTTAGATGTGCAATCTCTTCTCTTGGCACTTCAGTTTGAGAACTCTCTGAACTCTGAAAGAGAGTTTTGTCTTGGGAATCCCCTAAGCTCTTTCCCAGCAAACAAGCAAAATATTAATCTTATTTCTCTTTTTAGGGGGGTCTCACACCCCCACCTCACCCCCCTCCCCTGTAGCTCCTTTCATACTTTTTGTCTTTAAACTCTTGAAGCGATCTGACTGGCTTCTTCATATGGCTGAAGATGGATTTGTTATTTTCTGTGGAAGTGACTCCTCATGCTTTTGTCTTAATCTTGCCAGCTTGTGGAGTTTTTTTGTTTCACCTGATGGAGCTTGATTCTGTTTTCCTCACATAGAAACAAACTTACTTTTAATAGCTATATTCTTCACCATTCTAAACTGTGTGGGCTTCCTTTTTCTATTCTCAAATGGGTGCTTTGAGCTTCCAGCATTTATTTTTAAATAGCCTGAATTGCTTGCAGAGAAGTAATTCTCTTTGGCTGTCCTACACTTTTTAATCACACTTCCTTATTTTTATGAAGTTCCTCTTTCAAAATCAAACATAGCTGATTTTTTTTTTTTCTAAATGTTGAACTTCCTTGTAGGTTCAATCTAGCTGTGCTCTGATTGCCATTTCAGCGTAACATGGTCAACCATGCCCTGCAGGGCAGCTTAGGGCAAACTTCAGGGTTGTTTTTTCCCCCTTGGGACAAGCTGCTGCGCTGATTGTTTCAGGTTTGTTCTCGGCGCTGTGCTCAGATGGAGGGTTTGACCATTGTGCATGCTGCTAATTGGAGGTTCCCGTTACTGCTCTGTTTCCTGCCTTTGTAGCCTCCCCGGTTTCCCCCTGTGTGTCAGGCAGTGCTGCTGTTCAGCCCAATAGCAACAGTACTGTGCTGTCACTTGAGCCTTTAGTTTTTGGTCCGTGGGGATTGTATTGTTTGTCCATATGGTTAAATGGGTAATTTGATTAGACTTTAAGCTCTCCTTTAATGCATCAGCAGTTCTTACTGGCATACTGTGTCTTTCCTGACACTGGCATTTTGCTCTTCGGTTCCCTCCTGCTGAGTTTCCAGTACGTCTGCATGTGATCTCCTTGCTTACCGTTGGCTGTTCCACTTTCCAGGCTCATTTCTTCTACCAGCTGTCAAAGCCTGGGAGCCACTGTTGGGGTTTTGTCCTTCTTCTTAACCTCCCCAAACAGTTCGTTCTGTCTGTTCTTTGGTTGCTATTTGTTTGTTGCCTGACCCTATCTTATGCTGGCCCAAGTCCCTGCCTGTGGTGGCCATGGGGAGTGGTGTCTCTGCCAGCTGAGCTCTCCTTGACGCCTCTCCCAGAGTTCCTTTTGCTGGAGAATGTGGTGCATCACTTCAAGCTTCCCTGCGTGCTTGATCTGAAGATGGGGACCAGGCAGCACGGAGACGATGCGTCTGAGGAGAAGGCTGCTCGGCAGATGAAGAAGTGTGAACAGAGCACTTCTGCCACCCTGGGCGTGCGTGTGTGTGGGATGCAGGTAGGGATCCCAAAGGCTGCAAGTGCTGCCCGTTTCTTTCCGCAGCCCCATGAGACCTCCCAGTTAGTGTTTTCTGCTGAGCACTGAGTTACAGAGTCTCCCACTTCAGGTAGGTACAACAGTGTTCATGGTACTTGGTTTTTGACTTCATTTCTAGGCCTAGAGCAAAGGAACCCGCTTCTCCTGAGATGGCCTGCTTTATCTGAGTTGTTTTGTTCACAGATAACTAGGGGATTTTCTAATAACCTTGTTTTTGTGGGGTAGGGTTCAGCTGGAGTCATGGTGCCCAGAGAGGGAGGTGTCCCTCTGTCCCAGCATCAGCTGACATTTGCTTCTGGTACAGTATTGAGAGTCAGAAAGTTGCTCTCCTCTTGTGGCTAGGTCTTGCATTTGCTGCTGGTGCTGTTGGGCAATAGTTGTTCCTTTTTTTTTTCTACCCATGGAAGGGTCTTGTAATCCAGATCTCTGCCCACAGCCTCTGAAGCAATGAGGGCTCCTTACTAATCACATGCCACATAATAACAACAGTACGTGCCAGCAGCTCCCGCTGCTGGAGGATTGTCTGAGTTGCTGTAAGACGTTGCTTTTCAAGCCTTGGGGTCTGTTGTGCCATACCTCTTGGGGATGCTCAGACTGATGAGCCACCTTTTTGGTGTCCTGGGAGAGAACCAGTGCTTGGGCACCCTGCCTGTGCCTGTGGGATGCACCCATGAGCTGCTCTGGGATTCGGGGAGCAGGCAGAGCTGTTTTTCCTGCTCCCTCATGGGTGTGGTGGGGTCAGAACAAGTTCCCTCTGCCCTGTCAGGGCAGGCCAGCTCCAGGCGCTCTGTGCCTGGCCTTCACCTTTGCTCCCACTTGATGTGTGTTTCCTTTGGTGTTCTAGGTCTATCAGCTGGACACAGGGCATTACTTATGCAGGAATAAATACTATGGACGCGGTCTTTCCATCGAGGGCTTCCGCAACGCCCTCTACCAGTATCTCCACAACGGCATTGAGCTGCGCAAGGACCTCTTTGAGCCTGTCCTCGCCAAACTGCGGAGCCTGAAGGCGGTTTTGGAGAGACAGGCCTCCTACCGCTTCTACTCCAGCTCCCTTCTCATCATTTACGATGGGAAGGACAGCAGGGCAGGGATGTTTGTGGAGCGCCGGGCAGAGACACGCCTGAAGCGGGTGGACAGCGCTCTCCCGGAGAGCCTTCAGGATGGCAGCGGCACGGAGCCTGGCTGCTCGGCCCAGCCCAAGGTGGACGTGCGTATGATTGACTTTGCTCACAGCACCTTCAAGGGCTTCCGCGATGACCCCACTGTGCATGACGGACCCGACATGGGTTACGTATTCGGGCTGGAAAGCCTCATCAACATCATGGAACAGATGCGTGAGGAAAACCAGTAGCCCTGGGCTACAGCCTCTTATTCTTGTCCTGGTGGCAGGAGCAGACAAGACCACCTACTACCACAGGAAAAAAGCAGACAACTTTGGTTTTAAACAATTGTATTGCTCCATTGTTTTTAAATGTACTTGGATAGAAGAGCTGAGGGGAGGCAGGATGGAAGAGCTCCTCATGCCAACCAGATGGTTCTGACCGCGCTAGCTCTGCCTTCTGGAGGAGGCTCCCTCGATGCCTGCTAGGTGTTGGGTGTCCTAGTTCTTTGCTCGTCGCGTGTGCGTTCTGGAGGGAGGACCTGGATGTAGGGAAGAGCAAGCAGGAGAGCTCGGGGCTCTTCGGAGGGGTCTAGGGCTGTGGTGTGAGGAGCCCTTCTGCCTCAGGAGCCCCCTGGAGAGCCTTCCCTTTGAAATTCTCCCGAATTATTTGCAAAGGGTGCTCGACCAGTCAGTAGGCTCTGTGGTGCTGATGGTGAGCAGCACAGCTGCTGGTCCCTGCGTTCGGCGTCACTAGCTCTGCCCCGGGTATTGCCAACGGGGCTTTGCTTTTGATGCTGCCTTTTTCTGCTGTTTGGGCACAGTGAATAACCAACCCAAACACAGAAATAACATGACCAAATGCCCAGGAGGGAACACCACACCCCTGGAGTTGTGCTCGGGCCTGGGGCCTGCTCCTCACCTGAGGGGGTGGCCTGGGCAGGCATGGGGATCTGCAAGAGTAACTCAGCCCTGGACCACTGACCAAGCAAGAACTCGGCTCATGGGCTAGCAATAGTATCTGTAGCAGTTAACGTGACCCCAGCTCTGCAGCGGGGCCTTTCGGACCATTTCAACCCTTCCCCTCGTGTCATGTTGGTCCCACAGGTCGTAGGTGAGCATGTCCCTCCAGCCCAGGGCTGCCCTCTTCCCCCTCTGGGCCTCAGCCCCCCAGCCCACACTCCTCCGGCGGGTCCGGGCACGGGGGTGGTGGAAGGAGAGGCAGGGGTTAGGGCTGACCCCCCCCTTCTCCTCCCTGGGGTTTGCAGGGGAGGGGGGATCTGGCTGAGCAGGGAGTGCCACTGCCTGACTGTTCAACTTTGCTTCACGGAGTCCATCTTTCCTGAAATACATGACCAGTTTGTGGGTGAAAGAGCCAGCCAGGCCCTGCTCTGCTGCCCGCACTCCTTCCCTGAGCCTGTGCTTTACCAGTGGCTTCCCTTGATGAGGGCATTAATGTTTGATACCGTGGCCTGTTGGTACCGGACCGTACCCCCTCTGCATCACCCCGTGTTTCTGTGCTGGGACCCCCAGTTACTCCCTCCCCTGTGTCACTGCTTTGTTCCATGGCATCACCCTTGCCCCGGCTGCCTGAGAAACTGCCTGGGTACCTGCAAGGCCAGGGTTGGGCTTGTTTGTTTTCTGTTTCGGCCTTTTTTTTTTTTTTTTTTTTTTT